ATAGTGTCAGAGACAATGTTGGAGGGGCCTTTGATGAACTGGATGTCCGTAGTGAATTGAGAAATGTAATCCAGTTGTCTGGCTTCTCGTGGAGAATGTTTGTCGTAGGTCGTGTTGAAAGAATAGCAAAGTGGTTTATGATCAGTCATAATGGTGAAATCGCGTCCCTGAAGGAGGAACTTGAAGTGTTTTACAGCTAAGTACATTGCCAGAAGTTCGCGTCCGAAGGTGCTATAACGCTCTTGAATTGATGATAATCGTTTGGAAAAGAAAGCTATAGGAGTAATCTTGTCGTTAACGCATTGCTGTAATACTGCTCCCACTGCTTTTTGGGAGGCGTCAGTGCAGAGGATGAGGTTTGTTGTGGGATCGGTGTTTAGGTGCTGTAGCATGGTAGCATTAGATATCATCAACTTTGCTTTCTCGAATGATGTTTTGGCGTCAGGGAGTAGGTTGAATGTCTGACTCTTCTCTTTCTTCGTACCTTTTTTGTCGGCTTTCAGCAGATCGGTTAATGGCTGTAATACTTTAGCACAATGTGGTAAGAAACGGCGATAAAAATTACACATACCGAGGAACCGTCGTAATGACTTCACCGAGGTTGGTTCGGGGTAGCTAGTAATATCTTCAACTTTCGTCTGAAGTGGTTTGATCCCTTGTGAGTCGATGTAATGTCCCAAAAACTCTAAGGGTTGATGACGATGCTATGTTTTTTAAAACGATCAAAAAGGATCTGGACGTGTTGGACGTGCTCTTCTAAAGATGAGCTTGCAATCAGAACATCGTCGATGTAGGCAAACACGAAATCAAGGCCTCTTGTTACTTCATCCATGAAGCGTTGGAATGTCTGCGCAGCGTTTTTCAGTCCGAATGGCATCCTTAGAAACTCAAACAAACCAAAAGGTGTGATTATGGCTGTTTTCTCGATGTCTTCTGGTGCCATCGGAATTTGATGATATGCGCGCACGAGGTCAAGTTTCGAGAAGATGCATTTACCATGTAAATTTAACGAGAAGTCATGTATATGAGGGATAGGGTACCTATCAGGGATAGTTTGATTATTCAGACGGCGATAGTCACCACACGGACGCCAATCTTGGTCTTTCTTTGGTACCATGTATAACGTTGAGGCCCAAGGACTGTTGGATGGTCTGATAATACCAAGTTGCATCATATGTTCGAATTCTCTTTTAGCTACTTGCAACTTGCTTGGCGGTAGTCTCCTCACCCTGGCGCTAATAGGTGGACCGGTGGTAATGATGTGGTGTTGCAGCTGATGTGAATTACATTTCTTTTGATAATCTGATTTCATGATGCATTCGTATTCTGACAAAATGTCGTTGAAAATGTTGTTCGCAGGCTTCATTATTCGTACACCATGGATTTCACAGTCGTTGTAAGGTGTACCCTCTACCTGTAAACGTGTATTTGCATCGATCAATCTCTTCTTAGTCATATCTACTAACAAGTTGTACGCACTAAGGAAATCGGCTCCGAGGATGGGTCGTTTGACATGAGCAACTATGAAAACCCATGTAAATCTTCTGCGGAGTCCGAGATCTAATATAAGTGATTGCTCACCGTACGTTTTGATGGTTGGTTCATTAGCCGCTACTAAAGACAATTTAGTGCTTGTCGTATGTTGTCTGCGTGAGAGATTGAGTGGGATGATGCTGATTTCTGCTCCAGTATCGACTAAAAAGTCTGAGCCAGAAATACGATCCCTGATGTGGAAGAGGCGGCTAACATGTTGGCCAGTAACAGCTGACGCCATTACTGTCTGGCCACTTCGTTTCCCTGATGGTCTGGCTTGTTTGTCGTGAAGTTGCACGGTTTTGTGCAAAGACGTGCTTTCTCACCATAATTCGAATGATACCAACAAATTCCGGCTGCCCGCTTAGGTGACCTAAGACGATGTCTGGATACTGATCTCCTTCTGGAAGAAGATCTGGGGGGTCGAGAATGGATGGTGGAAATAGTCGCCTGCAGTGATGCTAGCTGCTGTGTTAACAGTGTTATTTGTTGTTGGATGCTGGGTGCGTCGCTCATGTCTTCTCTACTTGAGGATTGTATCGCGTTAACGCCGCGACTATCGGGATATATTTCTATCATCTTATCGGCCATGTCTGCTAAATCATCAAGACTGACAAAGGCTCCTGATATGCTGAGGATTTGTCTGACGCTATGTGGTAACCTTTGTGACCACATCTGCTTAAGTAATGCTTCGTCTAACTTGTATGAGCCTGCTAGTTGTCTCATATGTCTAAGCAACTGTGAAGGTCTTTTGTCTCCTAACTCGCATGCGGTGAGTAGTTGCTGCAAGCGTTTTTCATCAGACTGCGAAGTACGGTGGATTACTGCGGCTTTTATTTTGTCATAGGGGTCCGTTTCTGGTACGTTATCTATCAGGTCACCAACTTCCGTTGCTACTTCTATAGGTAGTGCACCGACGACATGGGCATATTTAGTCGCTTGCGAACGTATACCCCTCGTCAAAAATAGTGCCTCTACTTGAGTAAACCAAATTCTAGGGTTGTTGACACCGTATGTTGGTAATCTTAGTTCAGAAATAGCGTTGACTGAGTTTAAAACATTATGTTCTGGCTGTGATGAATGAAAGAGGTTGGTTGATGGGCTATCTATATCGATAAGTTTATTAGGTGAGTTCATAATGTCAGAAACAAAAAATGGTGTCGTGCCAATTAATAAAAATAATAAAATATGTAGATATATATATTATATCTATTAAAAAAAATCGAGGCTCACCAAATACTTGTGGTGGACCAGACAGATATGAACGCGAAAAGTATAAACAAAGTTACTAAAGATCAATAGTAATATTAATACATACGGTTAATTGTTACAAATACAATAAAAATTAGGGACGTTACTTAAATTGACCAAACGTTGCGTGTTCTGATTAAGTCCGGTAATGTAAATCCACAATTATAAATGCTTGATGATTCTTAGCAGGTTGGCGAACTCTCTAGTGATATAATCCCACGTAGAATGTGATATGTTCCAATTACAGTCTATAAATAATGACAATATTTGATTTAGACTTCGGCTAACTCAATCACAAACGAAAATAGGACGAGGGATGTGTGAGTAGTAATGTATTTGTTAGCCAGCAAGAATATGTCACGCTATGTTGGAATCACAACGGAAAGTGTGGTCAAGGTCATTGACTAAAACAACACGTACAGTCATTTAATGATGAATGTACATACAGTGAAAAATTGACAAACAAATACAAATAATATTAAAAACTATTTACAAAGTAACCTTGTCAGTCATATCTCCACAAAGCTGGGATCGGGATTCTGTTTTCCTCATCGAACGATCGACGATTAAGATACCCTACATGAATCACTGATATTAACCCCAACATTGTTTTCGGGAAGAAAATTCGGTTATGTTTTGGAAAAGCTATAAGAAATAACACAAGTCACTTAAAATACTATTTTTATTGCCGAAGACTAAAGATTGAGGTATTGAAAATACGGTGGGATATTCAAAAGGTGAGTTACCATGTGCATTTGGAGGGAAACTTCCTACTCAACTATTGCAGTAATTTCACGCCTTAGTTAATGTAAAGTCGGCGTATTTCACACTGATGTATATCAACCTAAAAACCTCCCAAGTTGAAAGAGATCTGGGAATGTTAGTACCCTATGGTATAAAGTTTTACGTTAACTGCTACAAAAATGCCTTTCGAGCAAACCTTGCACTGGTGATATTGGAGTGCATTTTTAGTCAGTTTGACGGTAAAACTTTCCACTTAATCTTCAACAGTTTTATTCAACTCCATTTAGAGTGTGGAAATAGTATTTCCTCCCTCACTCTAAAAGGATAAGGGTACACTTGAACGTATCCGATGGAGCCACTATATCAGTTCGGGGAATCGAATCCAAGCCTTATGAAGAGCACATCACGCCACGAAACCGTTACTCATTAGGTTATAGGCGTCTCAGAGGTGACTTAATGACTTACAACGTCCTAAACTTCTCTGGAATCCCTTTAAGTACCTACTTAAGCTCAGTCCCAACACAAACTTCAGGGACAATACTTAGAAACTGGAAGCACAACATAGCAGAACGGACTGCAGGTATACCTTCTACTCCTTAGGAGTGGTCAAATGCTGTCATTCGCTGCTTGTCGATCTGGTCCGTGAGACTTCCCAGGCGTCCTTTATGTGACCTGCTTCAGTTTGGGCACCCGGGCAGTATCCTGACCGTCTCTTACTTACAAAATGGAATTCTATAAGTCTGAACTATTGCAATCAAAATACTTGGTACTTTTAATTTTGAGTCCCGACTCTTCATTACATTCAAATGCCGTAGTCAACATGTAGAGGTTCGAATACCTCTACTTCAAAGCCATAGTGCTGTTTGACCATTCTGTTTTTTCACGTACATGGTCTCAATCAAACAAAAAGAGGAAATAAAGGAGAAATTTCAAAATAAGTTCCCACTTTTTGCCTACAATGGGCAAAAAGAAGACATTTTTCTAAGGTATTACATATCACTGAGAAAGGTAGACTTTTCACCTCAATACACATCAAGTTTATTTATTTGAACACAAATATTGGTACAAGGAGGCATTAGATACATATGAGCCTTTACTTTCCTATTTTTTTTGTTTTGGGTCTATCGAAACCATTATATGACCTGTCACAAATGCGTGTCAACCCGTTACCGAATTAGCGCAATATGAATACTGAAATTGGTCCGAATAGTAGTAGAATCAACGATGAGAATCTTTTCCATCACTCTTTATTTACCCATAATTTTTCTACTTCTTGTTTTCTGTTGTTGGCATTATTATTTCCGTCCTTTTGATATCTTCCCGTAATAGTAAATCAAGATGATTTGGAATAGTATGCATTTATATCGAACTATACTATTTGTTTTGTGTTAGGTCATAGTGTTTATTTTTCTCATTTGATTTGTAGTTTACCTTTCGAATGACTAATCTATGTATTCATAATTTCAGACCTAATGATTCAAGAATCGACATCTGTTTGTGTTGTTTTTAGTGGGAAAAGAAAGTCAGGCAAAGATTATACTGTTAATCGTCTGACTAATCTGCTCCAATGTAATCATCTTTCTTGTTTAGTAGTACGAATAAGTGAACCAATCAAATCGTATTTCGCAGAACATTATGGATTGGACTTGTCTGAATTATTATCCTCGAACGAATATAAAGAAAAATATCGAAAACAAATGATTGATTGGATGGAACAGGAAATTAGGCAAGATCCTTATATATTCACCCGGAAATCATTGCTTGAAAGTATTAGACGATGTGGGATACCTCATCCTGATATTATTATTATCTCAGATGCCAGAAGGACAAATGATGTGGAGTATCTCATCAGGACATTTGGTCGATCCAAATGTTTGTTAATACGTATTGTCACACCTATAGAAGTTAGAATCGAACGGGGTTGGTCATATGTTGATGGGGTTGATAATGCTATGTCCGAGTGTGGATTAGATGAATTCACTTGTTGGGATTACATTTTATCCAATGATGGAGACGAAAGTGCATTTAAAAACCATTTAAACGATATTGTTGCACTCATTAAAGAAGTGCGGAAATGATCCTAATGCTTATTATGCACTCATTGATAATAATGTTTGATGCAGGTGTAGTCGTTTACGTTGTATAGACACTTTCAACAGGCGTTTACTGCAACAATGCTGAGACGTACTTTTGAGCACTGTCGCAACTGAACGAGTTTACTTCTCAGATGATCGTTATTCTGGCTACAAATTTCCAGATTGTTTGAGAAATCTTGTTTGGTTATTGGAAATAGGATACTGATCTACTTCAGAAAATCCAAGTCGACTCATGTCTAGATTTATCTATTTATGAGATTGTTCCTGCATAACTCATGAGATCTGACTTTAAAACCCTCACGGTCAAATATATATTCAGTGTACATCAGGTAGTCAGTATCTTCATTTTTAGTAAAAGCAGTTTTTTTCCTGAGTATGTCACCCATCATTTTCATAATACCTTTTTATAGACATATTCTTTTTGTACTATTGAGACTTTAATATTTGCCGTAGATCCAACTTCGTTATTGCTTATTCTAAAAAAATGTTAAATTCAAACGAATTCGCCACAAATAATGGCTGGTTAACCGTAAATAACACGTCCTAACCGCCTCAGTTGATGAAGATACACAACCTCGTTAAATCTGTCCTCTAACTTGTATTTAGCCAACTACTACATTTATATTTTATGCGAATATTCGTCAAGATTAGAACGAATAGTTTGACAGTAATTGAGCGCCGAGTATAGAGAAGTCATTATATGTGAAAATTATATTTAAAATATTCTCAGCGATTGAAATATAACTAATTCCAACGTTTCGTCCAGCTAACTTGTCTGGACTTCTTCAGGGTAATAATCAAAATCAAAATTATCAAAGACGTATATAGCTTTTAACAGTCAGGATTATACTGTGTTAAACCAATCATATTTGGATGTTGATTTTTTGTAAAATAGGATAAAATGGGTCAGTTGACTACAAATCATGTGAAGAATTCAACTACATAGAAATAATTAACTGAGTAACAAATCGTATGTGTGTGAGTGTGCAGGTATGTATGTATGTGTAAGAGATTGATATGAAGGAATAAATAAATAAAGTTCAAGGTTGAAAAAATTTTTTGATAATGAAACATCGATGTACATGTCAAAACATAAATTGTATTGTTTCAAAAACTCATTGAATTCATTCCAAAAATAATAACGATGCATGTGATATTAAAAAACAGGTTTAAACAAGAGATAGGTTCCAAATTTACTTGTCAAACGAAATTTGCCATGTAGTTGCCAGTTGAATACCATCTTTTCGGTTCAGGCTGTTCTTGTTCGCCCATATATGCAGCGCTTCTGCTGTCAATCTTTCTTTATGGGTGTTAAAACCTTTCTGAAGTATTTTGGTCCCTTCGAAATTAATCTTGTGCCCTGTTTCTAACGCATGTAACGCTATCGCTGACTTATTTTCAAGTTTCTTTGAATCGACCGAGGATTTTGGAACATTTTTCAAGCATTGTTTGTGTTCCTTCAATCTTACATTCAGTTGCCTGGATGTTTCTCCAACATAGGTAGCATTACGGTCATGACAGCGAATCTCATACACAATGTTCTGTTGTTCTTCCTTTGCTAATTTGTCCTTAACTTTCACTAATGTCGATCTTAATGTGTTATTCGCTCTAAAATACACTCTTATATCATGTTTGTTTAGAACCTGTTTGATTTCTTCTGATGTTTCACTACGGTAAGGTATGACTACGGTGTACTTCCATTCTTTTCGTGTACTTTCTAGTTTAGGTTTTCTTTCATTTTTAATAATCTTCTTTAAAAACCTTTTTGGGTAGTTGTTATCCCTAAGAGTAGATAATACTTTATTTAATTCGGTTCTTTGGTCTTCCTTGTCTGTAACAATCTTAGTACTTCTGTTCATTAGATTTTTCACTACATTAATTTTCGTGCTCTGTGAATGGGCTGAATTAAAATCCAAGTATCTCTCGGAATGCGTTGATTTTCTGTAAACATTTATTTTTAACTTCTTATTATTGTGTCGACGTTCAACCAAACAATCTAGAAATGCTAGTTTGTGGTCAACTGATTCTAATTCCTTAGTTAGTTTAATGTTTTCAGAAATGCTGTTTACATTGTTAAATAGTTCTTCCATACCATCCCGTTTATTGATAATAAAACTATCGTCTACATACCCTAACCATAACTTTGGTGGACATAAACTCTTTGCGATTGCACTAGTTTCTAGGGAATGCATGAATAAATTCGCTACAATCGGAGAAACTGGTGAGCCCATCGCTATACCCTCTTTCTGTCTGTAAAGTTGACCTCGAAATATGAATAAGGTAGATCTTAAACATAATTCCAAGCATTTTATAACCTCTGATGGATCTGATGGGCATCGTAAATTCAAATCTAAATCAGATTCTAAATAATCATTGATAATATCCATAGCTTGACTGATAGGTACATTAGTGAATAAGGAAGATACATCAAAACTTGCCATTATTTCGTCCTCTTCTATATCGATGGTATCAATTAAATTCTTGAATTCCATAGAGTTTTTAATTCCATGATTAATCCGCTTTTCATATGGTTTGAGAATCTTAGCTAAATATTTAGCTAGATTGTAGGTCGGTGAGTTTGTATAGTCTACCACTGGTCTTAGTGGAGTATTACTCTTGTGGATCTTTGGTAGTCCATAAAATCTGCATGGGTTACAACTCTTTGGATATAACATAAACCATAAGGACGATCCTGGCTTAACTTTTAATGATTGTAAGAGTTTGCTAGTTTGCACCTTGAGTTTGTTAAGAGTTGTTCTACTTTTTGCTTCTTTGATTTTTTCATATGGACCCTCTTGTAGATGTTCCTTGGCTTTCTTCTCATACTCTGTTTTATTCATAATAACTGTAGTATTACCTTTATCTGCTCTCGTTATTATGATCGTTTTATCCTCTCTCAGCTGTTTTAGTGCGTAATGTTCATTTTTATTTATGTTAGGGTTGTGAGCTTTCTGATGTAATAATGTGTTCATTATTTTATTCCTCAGTTCATTCGCTGTATCATTCGGGAGTATATTCAGCGCTGGTTCTACTGTTGGTATAACATTGAAAGGTGTTAATTTATGTCTATTTATATTGAAGTTGAGACCCTTTTTAAGTAACGATATTTCATGTGGGTTGAGAGGTCTATCCGATAAATTAACAATTATTTTATTCATATCATATGTGTTAGACCTATTTTCCGTCTGTTGAACTTTGGTGTTTGATGAATGTTTCAATAGTTTTTCGAACTTCCTAATTTGTCGTTGTTTTGATGATTGATAATAAAATTGTTCTCTACGTTTAAAAAATTCAATTATATCTGATCTTATTTCGTTCGGTGCGATAACTGACAATATGTCATCGATATTGCAAACCCTTGAACGTAGTGCCTCCAAATTCATAGTGGCCTTGTGTATACGTTCTCTAATAAATGTTCTAGTGGCTGATATCGCCGCTTTGATTGACCGAATAGAATTGTCCGGAGACTTGACCATCAGAGATTTTGGAAAGACATTTTGTTTTAAGCATCGTATGTTAAAAATCCTGTGATTGTACCAGTTATGTATTTTCTTTGATAACTTAATTCGATTGGAAAATAATTTATACGAATATTCGTCAAGATTAGAACGAATAGTTTGACAGTAATTGAGCGCCGAGTATAGAGAAGTCATTATATGTGAAAATTATATTTAAAATATTTCAATCGCTCAGAATATTTTAAATATAATTTTCACATACTATATTTATATTTTATGGAGTTATACAATGAGGTAGTAACCTGTTGCTGGGATATTATTTATTGGAGTCAGATATTGAGGACATTAGCATCAACATATTGTTTAGCTGCCGTTTCAACATATTGGTGAGCTCGACGTGATCCAGTATGTTGAAACGGCAGCTAAACAATATGTTGATGCTAATGTCCTCAATATCTGACTCCGATAAATAATATCCCGTTGACTGAGTATTTAAGGTAGGCTTAATCTCCTAGTAGAATTATGGATTTACTCGAGATTTTTGAGAAGCCTGAACACCAGTTGTAGAGATAATTTATTGTTAATGATTAATAATAATCCGCAAGCGTACAGCGAGCAAGCACACGATGAAACGAAGTGTGAGTGAGTGTGTGTGTGTGTGTGTTAAAAATCCATATATATTTTTGAGAGTTAATCGGGTGTGGATAAATTATCGATTATCTGCACATTGCAACCAATAGGAGGATAGCTTAAGGGTTAATGTACAGACATGCATTCGATCATACACACAGAAATTAACATAGTGAATTAAGAGTCTGAAATGCACACAGAAATTAACATGATGAATTAAGTGTCTGAGTTACAATGAATAGACAAATGATACAGTGGCCAAATGGGCTTGCCACAACATCAACTCTAGAATGCAAGTACATCCAGCCGACGAGTTTCAAATAGGTCGAAATGCACGTTCTGGATTCTATTACTAGCCACCATCCATCTTAGTTTACAATAGTGTAAGCACTTGTTACGACTAGACTATGTTCCATCCAGTACACTTCATTAATATATCTTTAAGTAGAATTCTCATATTGTTCTTAATTATACGTTTAAAAGTCCTTCGTAGTACTTGCACTACCTAGTCGAATCATTTCAAAAGATGAGAAAATAAAGTATTCATTTGGGTTATCAAATTATTTAGTAATTCAACTCAGAGTAAATCGCGAATTTGTTTTGAATTAGCTGCAACTCACTTGCTGAGCACAGGTTGTGTATTCAGCTTTGAGCAGGGCTTTCTATTTAAAAGCTTTTGTCACTATTCTGTTGCCCAGACTAAAGTAACTGGAATGAATTTTGAAACCTAGATAGTGTTGATTGTAAAAAAG